GTAATTAAAAGAAAATTTTGTTTGACATTGTCGCCCAGTATTTTTCGTTCGTCCATCTCTTCCAACCAATATCGATTGGCAATCACTTTTCTCACCTCTGCCCGAAACATACGTTTGTATACTAACATCCGATTTAATTTTTCATTTTCCGTCTAAAATTGCAAAGCATGCATGTGAACTTTCCGTTATTTATCATATTTTTGATTTTCACGTACCAAAGACTCCTTACGCCTTTTTTTTTCTTTCTCCATTACTGGCATTTTAATTATTAAAAAATTATTAAACTCTTAAACCATAAAAGAAAATTGGAACCTTCAATTCCATATCACAAAAAAAAAATCATAATAGACGTCAAATTACCATAGCATCCTATTTTATACAATTAAAAGAAGAATTGAGCAATTATATTATTTTACGGTTTTTAAACGTATTTCTACATATACAGGGTGATCAATAAAGAAACACGTAATCATACATTTTTAGAGTACCTATACAAGTAATTTATTTTATATATTTCTAAGCTATTTCCAAAGCAAAGGTTAGAAGCGTATAAATGAACAGGTATTAGAACAGAGGACTCTATGGAAGGCAATAAGAAATATGCGAGATATGTTGTTACGACACCTTCTTAGCCATGAAGGGCTAGTCAGCGACATATTAGAGGCAGAAGCGGAAGTTAAGAGGGGTAGAGCTAGATTAGATTAATGTTCGCAAATAGTTAAGGATGTGGAATATTCTATTTTTATGGAAATACGAAGATTAGCCCAGGATAAGAAAGAGTGGTAGTGCGTATCCAACCAGTCTTAGTACTGACGACCTTCTGATGATGANTATGCTCGCAAACGATGAATTTAGAAATTCGAAAAAGATTGTTAAAGGTGTATGGTTGAAGCGCTGCGCTATACGGGTGCGGAACAACGACGGTGGGCACGGTAGAAAAGAAAAGGTTAGAAGCGTTCGAAATGTGGTGTTACAGGCAAATAATAATAAGACAGGCAGAAACAGGAGTTCAGTGGAAGAGAGGATTAGATTACTGTTCGCAAATTGCGATGTTCTAGTTTTAGGAGAATACGAAGATTGGCTCAGGATAGGAAGGAGTGATAGTACGTCTTCAACCAGTCTTAGGACTAACGACCTTATGATAATGATAGTTAGTATTACGCCAAACTTTTTATCAGACGATTTTCTATTTGATATTTAAATTATAAAGTGTAATGTAATTAAGACCATTGAAACAAACATAGTTACATCACACCCAGTAACATTGAGTGATTGGCGAAAATTGAAAACTTCTTTGTGTTATCAAATTAATATTACTGAATAATTTATTTACTTGCATATAGTAGACTTCTACATTGGAAGGAATTTTTGTTTGTAAACTCGGAGGTGTTGTACGCTTCGTTCGCATTTGCTCTACTTCGTTTATGGTACTAAAACAAAAATAAACAATAAATAAAACAAAATCCAAAGTAATTTTAGTATGAAAAGTAGAAAGTGAAAACTTTTACATGCGTTAAAAGTTGTACCTAGTTTTACAGTCTGAGCTGTGGGGAATAAAAATAAAAAAATAAGAAATCCGGGAATTTTTCAAATATAAGTTATAGTCAGTTCAAAAACATTCAATTTTGATCATGAAATAATAATTCTCATTTTTTATAATTGCAGTTGCAGAAATAACTTAGGGTATTATGGTGAACCCTCTTCAGTTCTTAATACAATAATGTTTTGCAGAACTCGGTCGATATGATGCAGAGATATGTTAGTTTGTTATCCCGAGACGTCAAATGTTTA